TCATCTCCAAGCATTTTCATTATTTGAAAACAGTCCTGTTATTTTTACCGAGCAAGTTACCTTGCTGAGTGTGCTGAGGGAAACAAAGAGTTTATTCAGACACACAAGTAATGATCAAGCCATAGACTTGGAGACAGAGCTCAGAGTCCTTGGAAGAATCTAGTTCAAGGGCAGGAAACTCAAATGCCTTCAAGGGTCAGCAGGTCATGGAAATGAGGGTCCCTGCCAGGCAGGGGACACCAGGACCTACTTCAGACTGAGGAGACACATTCCAAGCTCAAAAGCCTTTCAAATGTATTAGATACAAAATTTTAAAAAAACGAAACACTGCCAGCTGAGTACCACAATTTCAGGGGCTTATAAATAAGGAAACATAGGCCCAGAGGGGAGGAAGTGGCCAAGGCCACTTAGCACAGCTGTCACCAGACCCAGAGTCCCAGCCCCTATTCCCAGGTGCCCTCTCCTTGCAATGCTGTTGCTCTCGCATGCAAGGCACTGTTCTATAGGCCAAAAAGCACACACTGAGATACCATGTTTCCTCTTGACTAGAACGTATTTCTCCTTAACATTTTAAACTTCTCCAAAATTGGGATGCATCTCAGCTCTATTAAGTGCATTTGATGTGGCACTGTCCTTTCTGTTCCCTACCCTGATGGTGTAGTTGAAGACGTGACCTGCCATCGAGGACGTGTAATTTCTAATTCAGAGCTGCTGTCACTTTGATACCTAATGGCCCAGTTTGAGCCCTCCTGGGTCCCTTGCTGCCCCACAGCCCAGCCCACTGGGACAGAAAGAACGGGTGGGGGGAACAGAAGGCAGGCCTCCAGCATCCTTACCGTTGACCTCATCTTGGGATTTTGGGGACCGCTTGCTGCGCCTCTTGAGGAAATTTGAAGCATCTGATTCCTGCATGAAGATCTTCTGTTCTACATCTGAAACTCGAGAGAGGCCGGTCACGAGCGGCATGGGCTCACCAGGGCACCTCAGTAGCCCTGCACCCTGGGGTGGCCCTTGCACTCACCTTCCCGAACGTCTTGTCCTGCCTCCTGCTGGGTGCCCACCGATGCACCAGCGCCCTCCTGCAGCGCTGTGGGAGAGCACAGCATGAGGGCTGCAGCACCCCAAGGGGAACCTTCACCCTGAGCTGGGCTGGGGCAGTCCTTCCTAGGCACTGTGTCTTGCCCGGCCCCAGGGTGGGGTCCCAGGTCCCTCACATACCAGCCATAGAGCAGTCTCCCCAGGAAACCAGCAGGCAAGCTATTTTCTCTGTGTTCTATTGTTATACACACACACACACACACACACACACACACACACACACACACACCAGACACAGTCATCTGCACAGTAAGCACCCCCTTTCCACCTGGGCCACCTGAGCAGCCTCACCTAACACCAGTGCAACCTGGAGTCTCCCCATACTCACTAGTGAGGAGCACAGCAGCTGAGAGACAGCAGACGAGAAGCAGCTGTCTCCAGGCCATCTTTGGATGGGCTGAGGCTCCGTTTGGGAACCACAAGGCAGACGGAGAGGGTTCTGCAGACCCTGAAGCCAGCCGCCAGGTCCTCACTTCTGTGCCAGGCATGCCAGGGGGGAGGGACGCAGGAGACCCGGATGCCCATGGTGGGGAGTGGGAGGAGTCTCAGCCGCAGCTTCCATTGGCTGCTCCTCCTGGAGCACTGGAGATGTTTTTGGCGTCCTGCAAACCTCCACTGAAGCAGAGCCTGTCGTTGGGACCCCGGCCGAGACAGTTTTGAAGAGGCCTTTCCAAGATCCACACCTAAGGAGTTGCTGTTGGAATGCCCAGTCCCAGACTCAGGATTTCAAAGAGCTCCTGGCATCTGCTCCAGGGTAGGTGGGGACTCTAGTCCTGGAGGCTAAGGCCTGCAGAAGGGGTGGGAAGAGAGCCTCAGTGAGAGACTTTGAGGTATTAAGCCAGGAGGGACCAGAAAGCCTGGAAGAGCCCCTCGGGCAACCCTCATGTGGATACATGGGCTGTTAGAACCATAACCAGAGTACCCCTCACCTCGACAAGTCACCCAGCTGATGATGTTCCCTGTCAAGCAAAACACAGACCCCTGCTCCGGGGGTCCCAGCACCCTTCCAAGACTTAGAGGAAGAGAGGCAGTGAGCCTTTCACTGCAGAGGGAGAGCAGTGCACAGTGTGTGAAAAGCCCACAGCTGAGCATGGGTGTCTAGAAGGAGACAAAGGCACACCCCATGTGGGGGAGGAAGTGAATTCCTAGAAGTGGGAATGCTACCCAATCAGAGCTCTGTGGGGCCATCAGAACGCAGTCCCTCTGGAGATGTGTTCTTCATGCTCTCGTCGATTAGGAGCCAGCCTCGACTCTTACTAGCTGGAGAGTTGCGCTTTGGTCATGGTTGAGAGTTCTTAATGACAACCATTGCTAGGCCTAGAGCACAGCCCACATGTACCCGAAGGTGTGGGGAGAGTGAGGGCACCTGTGGGAGGCCTGTCCCCCAGTTGTCTCACCAGTGAGCTTCTTGGCCATGCCTGGGATGGCAAGGCTAAGTGAGGCCCTTTTGAGGAAATGCAGATAGTTCAGTAACACCAGAGCCCAGGAGCATGTGGAGGGGCTGGAGGTAGGAAGGGCCAAGGTCACAGGAAGGAGTCTCCATCTTTGTGAGGCACCCTAGTGTGTGGGCTGTAAGCACAGACCTGACCAGGCTCCCTGGATTCAACCCCAGCTTCCCACTTGGCCATCTGCATGGCCTTGGGCAAGTCATTTGACCTCTCCGTGTCTAATCCCCTCCTCTGCCACGTAGACTGACCTGAGGATTGGAGTTAGTGCATCCAAAGTCCTTAGAATGGTGCCTGGCATGCGTGGATCACCGGATATGTGTTTGCTGTCGGGACACAGTCATGAACCATTGAATGATACTGAGCAAAGTGACAGGAGGGATTTTGTGGTTTTTTTTTTTTTTTTTTAGGAACACTACCCTCCCAGTGATGTGGAGGGTGGGAGGGATTAGGTTAAAGAGCTGGGACTTAGAGAAGGCTTCTGCAGTAGTCCAGGTAGGAGATGGTGTCAGCAAAAGGTGGGGGGTGGGCAGGAATGGAGAAGACAGAACACTTCAAAGACTGAAGAAAGAATCAGTAGTGGGGCGCCTGGGTGGCTCAGTCAGTTGAGCATCTGACTCTTGATTTTGGCTCAGGTCATGATCCCAGGGTCTGTGCTGGGTGTGGAGCCTACTTGAGACCCTCCCTCTGCCCCTCCCCAACTCACATACATGTGCTCTCTCTCTCTTTCTCCTTCTCTCTCTCTAAATAAATAAACTTTAAAAAAAAATCAGTAGGACTCAGCTAATTAGCTAAGGGCAATGGGAGGCTGGGAGGTGTGGATTTAGATGGCTCCCACGTTTCCAGTTTGAGTAGCTGGGGGGATGGTTGGCAAGACCATTTAATGAGGTGGAGAACATGGAGAGAGGGCATATCATTGGACAAATCAAGTATCCAACACTTATGGGATTCAAACCAGGTCTAATGTCAAATCCAGTGCTCTTCTCATTTTCCCACAACAATAATTTTGTGAATATACTAAGCCATCACCACAATCAATTTCAGGACACTTTCATCACCATACCCATTAGCAGTCACTCCCCATTTTCTCCAACCCCCAAAGCCCTAGGCAACCACTAATCTGCTTTCTGTCTCTATGGATTTCCCTGTTCTGGGCATTCCATCTAAATGGAATCATACAGGGGCGCCTGGGTGGCGCAGTCGGTTAAGCGTCCGACTTCAGCCAGGTCACGATCTCACGGTCTGTGAGTTCGAGCCCCGCGTCAGGCTCTGGGCTGATGGCTCGGAGCCTGGAGCCTGTTTCCGATTCTGTGTCTCCCTCTCACTCTGCCCCTCCTCCGTTCATGCTCTGTCTCTCTCTGTCCCAAAAATAAATAAACGTTGAAAAAAAAATTAAAATTAAAAAAAATAAATAAATGGAATCATACAATGTATGGCCCATTATGACTGGTTTCTTTCACTTTAGATACTGTGTTCAAGGTTCATTTATGTTCTAGCACACATCAGTACTCCCATTTCTCCCTCATGCGGAATAATATTCTGTTGTACAGATATGCCATATTTTATTTATCCATTCATCACTAAATGGGCATTTGGGTTGTTTCTTCCTTTTGAATATCATAAATAAGGCTGATGTGGGGTGCCTGGGTGCCTCAGTCGATTAAGTGTGCAACTCTTGATTTTGGCTCAGGTCATGATCTCACAGTTTCATGGGTTCAAGCCCCACGTGGACTCTGCCCTGCAGGGCCTGCTTGAGATTCTCCCTCTCTCTGCCTCTCCCCCACTCACACTCTATCTCTCTCAAAAAAGTAAACTTAAAAAATTTTTTTTAAATTATTATTAAGTAATGCTATTACGAACACCCTTGTGCTGCATGGTTTTGTGTGGACATCCGTTTTTATTTCCATTGGGTAGATACCTTGGAGCAGAATTAGTTCAAATGGTACCTTCATATTTAACCTTTGAGGAAATCTCACATTATATTTTACATGTTCATTTACTCATCTTTCTCCTCTAGTGCTATGAGGTCTCTTTGATGAAGAGAAGTTTCTATCTTGTTCTACTAAAATGATGCCCAGCACAGATGTACTTCATCAGTGTTTACTGAATTAATTAATGAAAATACTCCTGGGTGAGGGCAGTAAAAGGAAACATTTATAAGTTTATTTCAGTGGACAATTTATAAGAAGGTACACACACGGACCCAAAATTTACAAGTTAATGTATCCCTGGGTTCAGGATTGTTCTCAAGGTTAGCAGGAACAAATTTTGTGGTGCATTCATGGATTTATTAAAGTGCAAACAAGATGGCTTTAACATTTGCCTCAGTTCAACTGAAGTTTAGACAGGTTTCTTCTTGATGATAGGCTCCCTTTTCTAGAGCATTTACTTTAGAAAACTTGAAACTGTAAATTCTTTCTCTGCCCCTTTGATGTAATGCAGATCTTCTCCCAGTCTCTTGCTGGTCTTATAATCCAGGAATGTCTTTCTCAGGGACCTGGGAGACATCTTTTTGGAATGAAGACACCAGGGCACCTGGGTGGCTCAGTCAGGCATCTGACTCTTGGTTTCAGCTCAGGTCATGATCTCAGTCATAAGGTCCAGCCCTGCATCAGGCTCTGTGCTAGGCATGGAGCCTGTTTAAGATTCTCTCTCTCCCCCTCTCATTCTCCCTCTCACTCTCTCTCTCAAAAAAAAAAAAAAAAAAAAAAAAAAAAAGGAAAGGAAAACCTCAAAGGAGATATCACCCCATCCCCCAATCCCTATGGGAGCATAGACACTTGGCTGTGATGGGCACCCTGCTCCAACTGTGAAGGGCAATTAAAAACTGCAGGTGACCACAATCCCTATCAAAACCACACCAGCATTCTTCACAGAGCTAGAACAAAAAAATCCTAAAATTTGTATGGACCCAGAGAAGACCCTGAATAGCCAAAGCAATCTTGAAAAAGAAAACCAAACCAGGAGGCATCACAATCCCAGACTTCAAGCTATATTACAAAGCTGTAATCATCAAGACAGTATGGTACTGGCATCAAAACAGACACCCAGATCAATGGAACAGAATAGAGAACCCAAAACTGGACCCACAAATGTATGGCCAACTAATCTTGGACAAAGTAGGAAAAAATATCCAATGGAATAAAGACAGTCTCTTCAGCAAATGGTGCTGGGGAAACTGGACAGCAACAGGCAGAAGAATGAACCTGGAACACTTTATTACACCATACACAAAAATAAGTGGATCAAAGACCTAAACGTAAGACAGGAAGCCATCAAAATCCTCGAGGAGAAAGCAGGCAAAAACCTCTTTGACCTTGGCTGCAGCAACTTCTTACTCAACATGTCTCCAGAGGCAAGGGAAACAGAAGCAAAAATGAACTATTGGGACCTCATCAAAATAAAAAGCTTCTGCACAGCGAAGGAGACAATCAGCAAAACTAAAAGGCAACCGACGGAATGGGAGAAGATATTTGCAAATGACATATCAGATAAAGGGTTAGTATCCAAAAGCTATAAAGAACTTCTCAAACTCAACACCCAAAAAACAAATAATCCAGTGAAGAAGTGGGCAAAAGACATGAATAGACACTTCTCCAAGGAAGACATCCAGATGGCCAACCGACACATGAAGAAATGCTCAACATCACTCATCATCAGGGAAATACAAATCGAAACCACAATGAGATAGCACCTCACACCTGTCAGAATGGCTAGCATTAACAATTCAGGCAACAACAGATGTTGGCGAGGGTGCAGAGAAAGAGGATCTCTTTTGCACTGCTGGTGGGAATGCAAACTGGTGCAGCCACTCTGGAAAAGAGTATGGAGGTTCCTCAAAAAGCTAAAAATAGAACTACCCTATGATCCAGCAATTGTACTACTAGGTATTTATCCATGGGATACAGGTGTGCTGTTTCACAGGGGCATGTGCACCCCCATGTTTATAGCAGTACTATCAACAATAGTCAAAGTATGGAAAGAGCCCACATGTCCATCAATGGATGAATGGATAAAGAAGATGTGGTGTTATACATACATACAATGGAGTATTACTC